AACTCTGATTGATGGGTTTATAATTTAAAGAAGAAATTAGGTTTTATGCCATAAAAACACATGGTGTTAACTTCATAGGGTGCGTAATGAAATAGCCTGTAAGGATTTGCACCGCTAATCTTAATAAATATACATCACTTGAGAAGAACTAAAAACAGTAGAATAAAGGCAATAATAATGATGATTGATACTTACAAGTCTAAAAAAGAACAGGTTATACTTCTACCTAAGAGTAATGAAAGTGTGACATCCTACACTTCACACATACCTGGCTTATGATGGTGGCTTTTGAACGTACCACTACAGTACCACTCACAATGTGATCAGCAAACCGCGTTGGTCCTCAAAGTGTTTCTTACATGTTTTGATGCAAAAGGTACAGAAATTGAGAATGAGCATTTAGACACTTTTATAGCAATTTGGTAGAGTAATTGTAAGTATATTGACTCTCATAATAACCAATTGGGGGCTTGCATTTCATATGTCTTTGTCTTTTTAAATTTCTTTTTTTTGAGTAATTCATTTTTATCTTATTTTATAGAGGTATTGTCCATGGAAAATTGGGGGAAAACTGAACCCTCAAGGCAGACAGTGTGAGAAATACTATTCTAAAATGTTGTGAAACAATTGACGAGATAAATAAGAAAGCACCTCTCTAAGCCTTAGTTTTCTCACCTGGAGAATGGATTTAATAATAGGACTTACTTCTTGAATTTGGATCTGAGAATTAAGGGAAGATAGGTGTGTATAAAGTGCTTAGCATGGTGCCTGCCTTTGGTAAGTGCCGCCCACCCCACCTGCAACTGGCTCTTAGTGTTATTGAATAACAAAGACTTGCAGAGATACCATTCAGAATGATGTGTGCTCAGGACACCGGTTCTTTTTGTAACAGGAGAAAATTTAAGAGGCTTCAGTCTTTCTTCCCCACCCCCAACCACAAACTCCTTCTGGAATCAGCCTACCTGGTTTGACAAACTAGGAGTTTATTCACCACTGACTTTCATGAAGCAACCAAACATCTGGGTTTTGGTCTTCTCTAACTGCTTCACCATCATGGTGTGGAATGTCCTTCTGTATTTTTTCTTCTGTTTTCCTCAAGTCATTAAGTAATTTCTGCAAGCCTCAACAACTGAGTTATTTTGATCTTTATTGTCTACTAAGTGCTTGCATTATGTTGGGACCAGGATAAAATGACCTGTCACTCATGGACCGCGAGTATGGAAATGTAAACTTTGCATTCAAAAGATGCATCACTTTAGGTGGTACTTCACAGGGCAAAGAGAACAATATGCAATCTCTTCTATTCAAAGAGGCCAAACAATTTTTTTTTTAGAGCGTGTTTGGTTAAATGTCAAAATTGAAGGTCACTGCTTCTTCAGCAGGCACTGCTGGTAGCCAAAGAAAGTGGCCAGCTAGTTCAGAACATAAATGCTAATTAAGGATAGTTCAATCAAAGAGTTTTTCCTTTTTGAATTACAAGTACACTGTGATGGAGAACATGAGGCCCTACAGTCAGACTAGCTTGGATCCAAATCACGGTTTGGGCACTTCACTGGCAACTCCTTTACTCGCTTTGAGCTTCAGTTTCTTAACCTATAAATTAGGGACTAATGGGATAAGGTCTGAGCATCACAGGTGCTTAAATAATATTAATTCCTTCTTTATTCAGTTAGTAGACTTCAATTATTTTTCTTCAAAATAAGCAATGAGATGACTTTAGCAAGTTTCCATGAATAGAATCAGACATTAAAATATAATAAAATAATATGTCAGTATTTATTTTTAAAAACATGCATTGGATTTGGCAGATTCAGTGAACAACAGACTGTTTAAAAATGAGACTGACTCTTTCCAAGGTCAAGCATCTTCAACTCCTTTTCACTCTGCCTAGAACTCTTTGCTCCAGCCAGAATAACTTTCCCATGCGCGTGACTTGGCTCATTCTTATTTTTAGTCCTTTGTGTTTAGCACTCTTCTTGAAATGACCTTCTGATGCCTTCCTGCCAAACCCCACACTCCTTTACAATTGTTCATCATTCACAGCATCTAGGAATTGGTAAAAAGAAATCTGGTCAAGCCATTCATTCCAGCCCATCTTTCAGGGCTGGAGGTTCTTCGAGGGAACTGTACTACTCCCCACTCGGACACATTTTCTTGCTATGATTTCATACGCATTTTTCATATCTGTAGAGTCTTTCTCCCTATCAGAACTATAAAGTTCCATTTCTTCAGGTTACAATGAGGACAGTCAGGATCAGAGAGGCTGTCACTGGGTCAAGGCCGCACAATTTATGACTGATTTGAAACAGGTAGCTAGTTCTTTGTGGTTTTAGTTTGGTATTGTTTTCATTTCATGACCTACCTCACTTAGTGGGTGGTTGGTATTACTGACTGACTGGCTGACTGACTGACTGACTGAGAAACAGTAGGGGAACTTCAGAAATGGAAAGGCAGGCAGCTCTAGAAGGAATATGGCAGATAAGGGGCATGGAGGGTGATGTGAGAGATGGGACAGAATGGAGGAGCACAGGGTAAGCGGCAGGGGGGGAAGAAGGGAGCCTCAAAGGATTAATTGTCTTACCCCAAGCATTTCATGTAAAAAAATAAATAAATAAAAAACACCTAAACACCACCACCACCTCGACCACATTTCTGCTTTGCTTCTATTTTGTACTTAATAAACAACACTACTGTCACTGCCAATGAAAACAACAACATAACTGTGTTTTTCCCTTGGCGCTAACTCTTAAACAATCTACTGGATTTGGGTCAAAATTTTAAACTGCCAGCATGTTAAAAATAAAAACCAGAAAAACAAACCTGGCTTTTTCCTGAACTGTTGTGAGGGTGAATGCAGGACAAGAGCCAGAGAGAAGAGTTACCATAAAAAATAACTAGAGCAAACATCCTTGAACTGATGTTTTCTATAAAAATCTGTTGGCTGTGAATTGCAAAGAGTGAAGTGGGGAAGGAGAAAGGAATGGGGGATCAAGTGGTGTCTGCTTATCGTCAACTAGCTTTCATGTAAAAGTCATGGCAGGGTCAGCAACAAACTAGCCAGGTGGCAACTCCAGGCCACGCTGCCATAAATAAATAGTTATGTACTAATGTCACACAACCAGGGCTAGATGCAAAGCATATGGGGGGAAAAACATTCTGATGTAAATATTAAAAACAAATACAAAACAAAACAAAACTAGGGTTGCTGAATTCAGGATTCACTGTTGATACTGGATTTTGAGACGCCTGGGAAAATAAAGTGGTGAAGCGTTTTTAAAGCCTGGACTAAAAGGTTCTTTGAAATGGAGATTGTTCCCTTCAAAAAAAAAGTTCCTTAACCTTTGGCCTAAGAGAGTGTTACTTTTTGGTGTAGTAATTAAGCATTAAGAGTTGGCAAGACCACAGACCCTGGAACCAAATTTCGAGAGTTTAAACTCTACCCCTGTTGCTTACTTGTTCTCATGACCTCTGGGAAAGTTACCCTGACCTTTCCATGCCTCAGTTTATTCACCCTGCACCGAAGGGAGGAGGAGGAGGATGATAATGGCAATAGGATCTGCTTCATAGGAAATTATGAAGATTAAGTGAGTCAATGTGTAGAGAACAAACAATACCTGGTCAACAGCCACATCCATGGGACTTACCATTAAGTCAAGTGGTCTTACAAAGGCTACTTATCTTACATAGACTATCTGCCAGACACTACGCTAAGGAATCTTTCTGTTCCTTGTATTAACTTATTTAATGTTAACTGTGGTCTTGCCAACTATTAATGCTTAATTACTACACCAAAAAGTAACACTCTCTTAGGCCATGAATTAAAAATCAATTTTACAGACAAAGGAACTAAGGCTTAGATGGATTAAGACATTTATCTGAGAAAGCATATCTAAGCTAAATTTCCAACCCAGGCCTTATTCCAGATTAAACAAAAACAAAACCAAAACACTTTAAAATGGAAACACCATTTCTTTGCTTAAAATGATAAAGTTTGAAAAGAAACAAAACACATGGCCTTCTAAGAACCTGATTTTTTAAATTTATTTATTTGAGAGAGAGAGAGAGAGAGAGCACACACCAGTGAGGGGCAGTGGCAGAGGGAGAGGGAGAAGCAGACTCCGTGCTGAGCAGGGAGCCAGTGCGGGGCTCCACCCCAGGACCCCGAGATCAGAACCTGAGCTGAAGGCAGGTATTTCAAACCTACTGAGCCACCCGGGCAACCCGAACCAGATCTTTTTAAAGGGATTAAAGGGCTGATGTCCTAATAAATCGCCTCAGGAGGGCTGAGATCTATTTCAACACCTCAAGAAAACAGAAATTCATTCAGTGACTCATTTCTCCAAACATTTCTTGAGCGCCTACTATTTTCTGAGAGGTCAAGATACAAAAAGGAGTAGGAACTGATTTCAGTCAGTAAGCACCTAACTCTGGGGAGTGAGTTATGTGCTTTACTGTGGGCTGCTGGATGGTGTCGGTTTGTTTTCTATTCTGTGTCCCTACATGACCAAAAGTGCCTCCACGCGAGCTGCAGAAGTTGTCGGACTTCTCAGCACAAGCCAAGCCGTGTGTCCACAGCTGTGCCGGTGGGGATTCACTGCCAGGTTCCCGCTCTCAGAGTGCGGAGAGACTTGGGCGAGGACGACTTTCTTTGTCGGCCTCCGATTGGAGCTGCGCTAAGACGGCGCGTCTGGAAGCGTATTCAAATCGCGCGCCCAAGCAGTCTCTTTCCGGGGCTCACGCTTAAGGATCGTGCGGCACCTTTATGCTCTGCCGCCCGGCCTGTGCGCTGGGGCTCCCTGGCTTCTGGTAGCCGGGAGAGTGAATTCAGCAAACAAACGAGGTTGATCCCTGGCGGACGCTGCCTGCACGGGAGCCCGCAGCGATTTAGGCGCCACGTCTGTGGACGGCAGCTACTTCCTGGTCGTTTTGCCCTTAACCATCATGGCGGCCGGTTGCCTTCGGCCGGGCCCACTGCGGCTGCTCAGAGAGCCAAGGTAGGGCAATCGGGTCTACAGCCCTCCCCCCGTCGCCGAGCAGCTGGGTGAAGCCTAAGCTGTGCAGCAGCTAGTGGTGAAGGGGGTACAGGAACAAGCCAAAGAAGACTAGGAGCCAGCGCCGTGCCGCTGTGTGCCCACCCCTCGTCTCCCGGCACCAAGGCTGCTGGAGCCCAGGGTGTGTTTTCCTTGTCCCCGCCACTTTCCAGTCCCTGGCCCAACATGATACTGACCAAAGCCCAGTACGACGAGATAGCCCAGTGCCTAGTGTCTGTACCGCCTACCAGGCAGAGCCTGAGGAAGCTGAAGCAGAGGTTCCCCAGGTAAGTGTCCGTCTCTCCACTCGCACGGCGCTTTGCCCGCAGCAGCTGTGCCTGGGCATCCCAGCCAGCGCTTAGGAGCCACGTGTCACACACGAGCGGGGAGGAACAAGAGTGTCTGGTTGTTGGGAGATCAAGGATGTGAGAAGGTTTCTTCTTTCACCTGCCTTCCACAGGAGACTCTTAAACGGATGAATCCCTGGCAGTCTCCCAAGACCTTGAAATTAAATTCGAGTTCAGAAACGTTTATTGAAAACTTGGTGTGTTCTATGTGGTGGCTGCACATAGTAGGTGCTTCATAAATGTCTGGTTAATTGACAGATACTAGGAATGAATGATAGGTGGCCGGGCCCTCTCAAAGTGGAAATGCAAATTCTAGATTCAGAAGGAGGAAGTGGAAGACCCTTTTCGATTGGCCCCTGGAAACAAACAAGGGACCACAGGCCTAAAGAGGCCTCCTGCTGTTCAACTTCGACTCTCTAAAGCAATTAGGTGATCTCAAGTGTTTGTCAGTCCAGTCGGAGACTGGTGCGCTAGGGATTCCACTCTTGGGTCAAGACTGGTCATTTTAACAACCATATATACATATATATGCATATATGGTTGTTAAAATATATATATATATGTGTGTGTGTGTATATATATATATATATATATATACACACACACACACATTCCAGGTGTAGTTCATACTTCCCACCCTTGCACAGATATCACCAAAGAAGTGTTTTCTTGAAGAAAGAGAGATTACTGGATAATTGGTATTAATAAAGTACAAATTGAAGAGTAAATTAAAGGTCTTTATGACCTCTGTTTTTTGAAGGAGTCAGTTTTCCTCATCTGTAAAATATTTTTAATATTTTCCAGGTATAATTAAAGGCAATATTTTTCCTTTTATAGTTTGTAAGACTTTTTTCAAACTTGCCAACAAGGAACAAAATTGACAGATTGGAATTTAATTTTCTTTCATTAACTCTTGCCAGCTCTGTCAATGAACAATGAAATGGGGGAAGGCTGGTTAGCTGAGGGAATAGGTAGATTTTTCTGGGCAGTTTGAAGATGGAGCTCTTGTTATGTTCTCATATTACTACTGTATTTTTGCTTCTCTTTCTTTTCCTCTCCTCTTTTTCCCCACCTCTTTTTATCTCTTTTTTTTTTTTCCCTTGTCACCTTATCTCCATAAGAAGTAACCTCCCCATATGCTTATGGAGGACTTAGGAAGTACACTAATGAAGGATGCCCTTCGTTAGGGGCACCATGCTCTCTTGCCTATTCTCTTATACGCTTTTTTCCCCCCCTATTCATGATATGGCCAAATATTTTTCAATTTTCCCAAATACCATTCAGGAAATAACTAACTCTTCTTCCACTGGAAACTTTATTTACAGAGTCTGTACTACTCTGCAAAAGAAGGGATTAAAGGGTCATTTAGCAGCATGAGTGGAAATTCTATTAACAGTGTGGTTTTTGGAGTTGACTTCACAGTTTTCATAACGGCACTGTTTTACACTAGGTGGTTGTTGCAAAGGCCTTGAACAACCTTTAGATTTGGTAGTTCATTTTACTAGAGAGTCAGATAAGGACCTCATAGATAATTTCTGGTGGTTCGAATAGGTTAAGTGACTTGTCAAAATCCCAGAGATGTTTAATGGCAAAACAATGTAGAATACAGGTTTCTTGACTTTCAGTTCAGAATTCTACATTAAGCTGTCTGGATTAGTCTTCATATTAATAATAATAAGAGTGACAATTATTTTTTGTTGGCATTTGCATACACTGAGTTCTAAAGAAAAAGTACTGAAATGGTTTTGTTTTTGTTTTTAAGATTTTATTTGAGAGAGAGAGAGGGAGAGAGAGCATGTGCAGGAGCGTGGAGGTTTGGGAGCAGGGGGAGAGGAAGAGTGAGGGGGAGAGGGAGAAAGAGAATCCTAAGTAGACTCCATGCCGGGTGCAGAGCCTCATGCAGGGCTCCATCTCCCCACCCCGAGATCATGACCAGAGGTGAAATCAAGAGTCAGAAGCTTAACACACTGAGCCACCCGGGCTCCCCAGTATGGAAATGTTTTTTAAAAGTTGCTAAAGTTTTATCTTCCTGATTTTAAAAGTTGTGCATGCTCAGTAAAGAAAACAAAAAAGTATTCATAATTGCCTGGCCCAGAAAGGTTCTTTTAACATTTTATGTATTTCCGTGTAGTCTTTTTTTCAGTGTAATACTGCCCCTACTAATATAGTTTGTAGGTCTTCCTGTTCTTACTTCACATATTGTGAGCACTTCTCCTAAAATTCTTCACAGTTTGTTTCAAATAAATAATAATATCACATTCTATATGTACCATCCACTTTCTTATTATTGGACATCAGAAGTTTTGTTTTTCTAATTTTCTGATGTAGTTGTTATATAATGCCCAGTCTTCTGCTTATTTTCTTACTTTAGATTCACAGATGTGAGAGTGACTGTATCCGTAGTTTCCAAACTTTTTGGTCTCCAGATCTCTTTATGCTCTAAATAAGCCTCAAAGACCCCAAAGAACTTTTGTTTACGTAGATTACATCTGTTGATATGTACCAAAATACAAATTAAAATTGGGAAATTAAAAAAAATAATTTATTTAAAAATGACAATAATAAACCCATTTTGTGTTAACATATTTTTATGATTAATAACCATTGTTTCAAAAAAGTAGTGAGAAAATGGCATTGTTTTACACTTTTGCAGATCTCTTTAGTGGCTGTCTTAAATAGAAGGAAGACATCTGCTTCTGTATTCAACCTGTTGTAATATGTTGTTTTGATTAAAGAATATGAAGAAACCCTAGCCTCAGACAGATGTAGTTGGAAAAGAGAAGAATAATTTAATAGGCTTTCTAGATAATGTGGATATTTTTGTTACTACATAAAACCTAACAAGTGGTATTTTCTCAAAGGTTAATTTACAATGTAGAATGTGAAACCATATCATGGAGCTTTTCACTCTGTTATATTACAATCCACTGGCCTGTCTTGAACTTTGAGTGGATCTTTCACCCATGCATGATTTTTATCATCCATGCATTGTTTGTTTGTAAAATGTTGGTTGTGAGTTATGCAAATCTTCCAAATGTTGTCACCTTTCATTATACATTATCAAAAAATCATATTCATTAATATCCCCACTGATCTCATCAGAAAAGTATGTAAGATTTGAAGCTGTCAGGCTTATGGTGATGGGTGCAGAGTTTTCCAATATTTGAATTTTCCCTTGAAAGCAAATTTTATCATTGCAGCAAATATTATCAGTTGTTTTCTTTGAAGTGACAGGCTCACATTGTTTATTTTTCAGAAAATGTCTTCCAGATACCCAAATCTAAATAATTATACTTTGTTCATTGCTCATTCAAGTAAAAAAGTTGTCCCATGGAAAAAGTGGCTAGTTCAGCTCTACAACAATCATGTAAGTGTTCTCCCTTGAGTCAGCCATCATACTTTGATATGCCGTAGATGTGCTTTGTATTTGCTTCTTACTTTGTCATATAGAATGTTAAAAGGATGCGTATTCAAAGGTTGAGGTTTAATAAAATTAATAAGTGAATCTTAAGATATTCTTATATGAAACTGGCCTTTTTTTTTTTTTTTTTTTTAAGTAAACCCTATGCCCAACATGGGACTTGAACTCACTACCCTGAGATCAAGAGTCAGCATCCTCTACCAACCAAGCCAACCAGGAGTCCCAAACTGGCTTTTTTTTTTTTTTCTTTGTCCTGCAAGTGTGTTGCAGTGAAATTTACGGTGACTCCTAGAACAGTTTGCCTTGATTTATGCGTAGGGGCTAGCAGTTTTACCCACTATTGTTTTTGTATCATCCATGCAGATTTCACACAGGGAAAAAGGTAAATCATGTCTTACTAGTTCCATAAAAATAGTTTTGACTTTGTAGACCCCTGAGAGGGTCTCAGGGACTCCAGGAGTCCACTGGAGTCCATTGACCACACTTTGGCAACTATGAGCTATTTCAAATCAAAGGATATGTATATTTTGAAGGATTTTGGTGTATATTGACAAATTAGTATCAAAAAGATTATACTAAGGCACCTTGGTGGCTCAGTTGGTTAAGTGTCCAACTCTTGATTTCAAATCAGGTCATGATCTCAGGGTTGTGAGATGGAGCCCCCGCCCTCCCTTGGGCTCTGAGCTAGGCCTGGAGCCTGCTTAAGGTTCTCTCCCTCTCCCTGTGCTTCTCCCCCCTCCTCTCCCCTGCCTCTCTCCCTCTCAAAAAAAAAAAAAAGAAAAAGAAAAAAAAAGATGATACTAATCCTATTACTACCAGGGCAGGGGAGTATCTGTCTCTACAACTTTGGCCAGCATTAAAGAGTGTCATTATTTAATCTTTAGTACGATTGATTAAGAGTGACATTTTGTAATTTGTATTTTTTATTATAGTGCATTGTGTATTTCCCCAGTTGTTTATTGACCATTTAACTTTCTTCTTTTTGAGTTACCTGCCTGCTGTCCTTTGTCTAATTTTATATTGGAGTGTTTGCTATTATTGTTTATTGATTTGTTATTGTTTAGTGATCTGCGTATGTTAAGGATGTTGATCCTTTACATGTCACATCTGTTGCAGGTATTTTCCCAGTTGTTTGCTTTTAAATATTGTTCTATTTTTTTAGTTTTTTAAAGTTCTTTTTAAAGATTTTATTTATTTATTTGAGAGAGAGAGCGTGCGTGAGTGGGGGCTGGGGGGTTGGAGAGGCAGAGGGAGAAGCAGACTCCCCCTTGAGCGGGCAGCCCACTATGGGGCTCCATCCCAGGACCCTGAAATCATGGCCTGAACCGAAGGCAGACCCTTAACTGACTGAGCCACCCAGGTGCCACTTTTTCTGTTTTTTATATGCTTAACTTTAAGTTTATCCTTTTTTTGCTGAGAAAGTCCTGTCCTGTCCTAAGACATGAAAACTAAATCTTCACCTAAATTTTCTTCTAGATTCTTTGTGGCTTTCTTTCTTATTAATTTTTTAATTTGTCTA